GAGAGCCACAAAAAACTACAAATCCCAGGAGTGCGTAGGATGGAGCCATGGCAGTTAAAGCAGTGTAAAGCTGCATTGATTCTGCAATGTGGCAGCTGCTGCCTAGGACTCCCTGTTTTGCTGGGATGACATGGAGCTATGTGAACATATAGGATCTCAGCCTTCAAATAAGAATTTTCAGCACAGAAACCTTAACTTCCAGGAAAGGGGTGTCTGGGGCTTCCATGGCAGTGAATCCATGGCAGGTTGTAGACCAAATGTGAAAGGAGCTGTCCAAGTTAACCTGCTTCCAAAATAGGCTCAGCACCTTGGATACTTCCTTGACAGTTCAGATTAAAACATGGAGTGGATTCATTGCTCCACTGACATGGGAGACCACAGCCTTCCACTGCTTCCATGAAGTTTTTCCAAGCCTCTAATCCATCCACTTTATCCAAACACAATAATGATAGCATAGAGGTTTGAATATTGGACTACAACTCTGGGGGGGGGGGGGGGGGGACCATGGTTTGATTCCCCGCTGGGTGACCTTGGGCGAATCACACTCTCTCAGCCTCAGGGGAAGGCAATGGCAAACCTCCTCTGACCAAATCCTGCCAAGAAAAGCCCATGATAGGTTTGTCTTATGGCATCGCCATAAGCCGGAAACAACCTGAAGGCACACAACAACAACAACATTCTCAAACCAGAAAGTCGTCTGGTGATGTACGAAAGCAATACTCCAAGACAATCTAGCGGCTTAGAAGAACATGCTGTTAAGACAGAGATTTGATCTATAGCCACAGCAGCTGTGAGCATTCACTGGGAAAAGAGGCACAAGACACACACAACAAACACATCATGCTTGGAGGGCATGTTTTCATCTCACCAGATGTTGCAGTGCATGCTTGAGGACGGTCATTGCCCCAAAGCGATGGCCTCTCTATAAATATAACCATTAGCAGTTCAGTTTCCATGCTGACTTGACCTTCAGACTGCAAAGCAAAGCTCCCTTTACACTTAGGATTATTACCAGCCCTGCAGACTTTTAACGGAGCACAGAAAATCATTCAAGGAGGTGTGTTAGAAACCAGCATGGTTTGACGCGAGTCTATCTACACAGGAAGTGAGAAGATTTCAAGTTTATGCAAAAATGGACACCAGCTTGGACTGGTCTCAGATCCTTTGGCCGCTCACCCAGGCTTGCTCACGTCATTTAAATAAAAATGTGCTACTGTTCTCTCTAGGAAAACATTTCAAAGATGGGAACAGAACAGACTTCCACATCTGGGCAGGAAAAATGAAATGCAGAAATGCAGAATGGGCGACACCTGGCTTGAAAGCAGTATGTGTGAAAAGGATCTAGGGGTCTTAGTAGGTCACAAACTAAACATAAATCAAATGTGATGCAACAGCTGAAAAGGCTAATACAATTCTGGGCTCCACCAAGAGACGTATAGTGACCAGACTGAAGGATGTACATCCAAGCAACTAGACCATGTGGCCAGAGAAACGTCTAGGGCAGGGGTAGGCAACCTTTCCCCTTTAAGGGCCGAGGGACTTCAGCTCCCAGAAGCCTCAGCCATGTTGGCCAATAGTCCCATGTTGGCTAATAGCTCCTGGGATTCTGGGAGCTGAAGTCCCTCGGCCCTTAAAGGGGAAAGGTTGCTTACCCCTGGTCTAGGGTCAATGGTCATATAAAAACTTTTCCCATCTCTATATACTTCCTCTCTTTCTCCTTGCTTTGTTCTCAGCTTTAAAAGGGTGAGTTAAAGTAAGCTCACTAGAGCTTTTTTCGCCCAATCTTTTCATAATTTAGGATGTATGTGTATTTTCTCAAAGCAATTAGCAACATTCTCTAGTTTGTACCTTGATGCTGCTTGCTTGCTTTTTCGGTAACTTCAGTCATTCTCAACTAGGGAGATTTTGAAGACGGAGGCATGTTACTTCTGCTAAACTCTACTGCGGGAGGCTGTTCCCTAACAGATTCCCAAAAAGGAGAACACCACCCTCGGATATAATCCTTTTTCTCACACAAACACAAACACACACACACATAGAGGTAGAGCATAGCCATGAGGTCACAGCTACTTGTCCAATGCAGAAAATAAGCCAGTGTTGTCAGGGTTTTTTATTATTTGAATGGCATCCTCTGTGCAGCAGTAGCTGATGTTTAATGTATCATGGTTACTAGTGGCATCATTATGCCTTGCAACATTGCCTTTGTAACATCACCAGGGCTCATCCTTTCTGGTATCTCAAAGGGTTGTCCCTAAAAAGTGTTGGTGTCACACAACCCGCTCCGAGATACATGTTCTGCGGATCCTTTTGCAGCAATTTCAGATAAGCTTGCAGCATTAAACAGAACCCAAAATTGTTTTTGAAAATCCTTGTGCCCCAAAACTGTTAATTTGTGGGGATACAGAGCTCAGGAAAGTTCTTCTCAGGGACTACAGCTCCCATGGTCCTGGCTTGGTTATTTTTCTGAGCTCTGGTGGGACATGGGAGATCTGCTAGAATCCAAAAACTGTAGCACAAAATAATAAAACACAGTAGAGACATAAAACTCTGCTTATTTTGTTCTTCCTGACAAGAAAGAAGTATTTCAAAATTTCCATCTTGTTGGGTGAGAGTACAAGCATTTTTGCACAATTCTTGATGATTTTTCAAAATCTGCAGACCTTTTTGCAAAAATTTCAATTTTGCAAAAAGTTGTATTTTTGCACAAAAAGAAGTTTTGTTTGTAAACATATTTTGTGAGGGTATTTTTTTTTTGTTCAAACACAATTTCTGCCAAATTCTGAATTTTTAGAGCTCCATAAGTTTCAGAAGTTAATTTGGAAACAGCCTTGTAAAAAAAGGCTTGAGAGCAATACACGCCACTGGGCTTTTTTATTAACAACAAAATGTCCGTTAGCTGAGCACCTTGAGACATATATCCACCTTCTTCTGGATGGATTTTATTGGGTGCTCCTCAAGTTTTGCTTCCTTTGTTCTTCCTTTGTTCCACAATTAAAATCTCACCCAGAAAATAGCAACTTTACATGTCAAGACTACATGGCTAAAATTCTCACTGCTGTCTCATTCTTCCCAACCAGGTTTTCCAAGTGTCAGGAAACCCTCTTTTCAACCAGGAAAAGAATAGCAGCAAATATTATTTCCATCCCTACCAACCATGTGTCCCAGTGTGATGATTCTGCAAAGGAAGAGCAGCCACCATGCAACGGCATGTGAAAATTTTCCCAAATGGGAAACAGCTAGTTTAGAGTCAGAGAGCCAATCCTTCTCTCCTCTTCAGTTTTTTTTCGTGGACTGGATTATGGATTTTAAGGAGTCCTCTAGAAGCTTGTTTTTCTTCTCCATGTCATCCCTGGAACACTTGATCTCCTGAAGCATCCGCTCCAACTCTGCAGATTTTTTCCTTTCTTTCTCGGTCTCCTCTTTGAGCCTTACCACTTTGGCCCAGACATCGTAGTTTTCCTTTTCAAGGCTGCAAAAGAAACAGAAAAGGACATCAATATCCCACTCTAATGAAATGAGGTGCCATGGCACCCCAATTGTGGATTGCCCTTCCCTGGGAGACCCAATTGGCACCAATGCTGATGCCACCCATCTTCCCCTGGGAACTAAATAGAGACACCTTGGCAGCAGATAAGTAAGTAAAGACTGGCAGGAGGGGGGCATTGTGGATGGAGATACTGTGACCCAAATTATGAACCTTGGGTGAGTCCCACTCTCTTAGCCTCAGAGGAAGGCAATGACAAACTTCTTGGAACAAATGTAGCCCAAAAAAACTCTTGAAGAGAAGTGCCATCAGGTCAACTCGGAAGTCACATAACAACAACAAAGTTCAGAGAAGACCTAGGGTGCATCTACACTGTAGAAATAATGCAGCTTGACACTCTTTCAAGTGCTGCAATACCATCCTATCAAATCCTGGGATTTGTAGTTTTATGAGGTCTTTAGCCTTCTCTGCCAAAGCCTGAAAGTGCCTCATAAAACTACGAATCCCATAATTTTGTAGGCTGAACCCATAGCAGTTCAAGTGGTGTCAGACTGCATTATTTCTACAGTACAGATGCATCCTCTTGGTGGGGAATTAGGATTGTTTCTGATGCAGATTACAAACAGGGAGTTGCAAGCATGTCAAGTTTAACAGACAAAGAAAACCAGCCCATATGTTTTATGCTACCTCCTAATTTGCTCCTCATAGTCTTTTCTCTGTGCCGCCATCTCCTTTTTCAGTTCCGCAATCGTCTTCCTAAGTAACTCGGGATCTTCTGGGTCTTCAGGACCAGGATTCGGATCCATGGGCCCATTTTGCCCGGGACTGACAGTTTTGCTCGGCTGAAAATCATCTCCTGGTTTCTCACTTCCTTGAGGCAAAGGACTCTCATCCTCTTGTGCCTGTTTCTTCATTTCCTGAACAGAAGAGGAAGCGTTTGATGCTTGAGGGAAATGCAAGAACTTGGAAAGCCCTTGCGACAATGTCCTCTTGTGTCCACTTATGGAGGAAACAGGACTGGGCTGGACCAGGGAAGATGTTGATGTCCAAAAGCTGCTATTAAAAATGTCATTTCTGACTATGCTTTTGTCCCCTCTGTTGGATGAAACGTTCCCAAAACTTTTCCGGTTGGGAAGGATCTGAGTCCTTTTCCGAGACTGTCCGTTCCAGGAGTCCAGAGCGTCTTTGGGTTGGAGTTCCCCATTATCTTCAGCCAATGGATCTCTCCTGCCAGTCAGTTTGGAGCTGGGAGATTCTAGATCGTCTTTCTGAAAGCAAAATCAGAAACCGTACTGATTTATTTCATTTCCTTCTTGTCCTTATTCGTTCCAACATGGGACCCAGGTAGCATAGATAGCTCAAACCACTATACCACACTGGCTCTTTGTGAAAGGAAGCTTATGCATCCATAAAACACCAACGGCCAATATATTTTCATGGGAGTCAACATATTTTACTCCAATACATTTTCAAAGGAATCAACATATTTCGCCCCAAATCCCCATTTTCTGAGCAAGCCAGCATGGTGCAGTGGTTTGAGCATTGGACTACAACTTGAGACCAGGGTTCAAATCCCCGCTCAGCCATGGAAATCCAGCTTGAGCAAATTACACTCTCTCAGCCTCAGAGGGAGGCAAAGGCAACCCTGCTTTGGAACAAATCCTGTCAAGAAAACCCTGTGATCGGTTTGCCTTAGGGTCACCATAAGTTGGAAATGACTTGAAGGCACTTGACGACAACCCATTTTCTGCCCCAAAATATGTTCTCTGTGCCGGAAAAGCCCAAATTAAATTTTTCCCAAGGATATCCCGAAGTATGAATAGTGCTCAAAAACTATACAGAAACTCTTGCATTCTCACAGAGTGGGGAGCAAAAAGATGAGGTTACTGAATGCAGGAATAAACTGAGCCAAGAGTTGCATCCCCAAGGGACTCTCACCACTTCCCAGAGGGTTTGAATCTCACTCCTGGATGCGAGCGGTGCTTGTACGGCGTCCCAGCCGACCGTGTTACGTGGCACCGGACATTTCTTGGAATCGTTCTTCTGGAGAGGTGGAGAAGGCACCACATCTTTGGAAGGAGGAAAGAGATCTTCATGCTCACTGATCATTGCTGTCATCACTTTCTGGATCTGCGGGGTACCTACAAAAAAAGGAAAACCACATTAAAGGGAAGAGGAGCATGAACTTTTGTGGATATCAATTCACTTCCTCTTATGTGAATATTAATATAATAATAATAATAATAATAATAATAAAGAAGTTTATTTTTATCCTGCCCCTCTGCGTAACACAACCAGGGCAGCTTACAACTTTAAAATATACATTCATACCCCACAATCCCACCAACCCCTTAAAATACAATTAAATAATGACAATTTAAAACACATTTTAAATAATAACACAAATAAACAAATAACAATAGCTACAGTCGAATCAGGGATGAGCAGGATGGCTGTCTTTTGATGGCCTGGATATCTATTTGGGAAAGGCCTGCTGGAAGAGATCCATCTTAACAGCCTTTTTAAAGCTGTCTAAAGTGGTAATATGACAGATCTCATATTAAGGTGATATTAAAGCCTCGGTTTATTAAGCATATCTATATTGTTATGGGAGTGGGATAGACTGTAACAGAATGCAGAAAAATGCAAATCGTAGCTCTCATTCCAAGGGATTTTTTGCAATTCCAGAGAGTGCAGAAGAAGTCCTCTTTAATGCAGATGGGTTGTGCACACTTTGCTATGAAATATGGCAGCCCTTTAAACAACCACAACCTCTAAAGAGCCTACTTGAAGAAAGCCATGGCACCTTTCATAATGGTCACAGGATCCTCCATCTTGGGCCTGATGAGGTTGACGCCAAACACCGTTGCCAGATTCTCCACGCTCATCTTGTTGGTTGTCGAACAAAGCTGGATTTCATTCAGGAACCTGCCGGAGTTAAAGGGCAAAGTGTGAGAAAGAAGGAAACACCCATTCTTACAGACTGATGGGTTGTTGTTTTTTTACACATGACACACCACTTCCTAAACACTTTGGACATGTGCAAAGTCTGGAAAAGTATAACATTTTGGATTACAAGTCCAAAAAAGACTAGGAATATGTTAGAAATATGTTAGAAGCAATAATCTCTTCATTTCTCCGTGACCTGGAAAGAGACACTTAGCTAAGATTTCTGTCTTAATTTCTAAACAAGAAAAATATGTTCTCTGTGTCTACGTTTGTGTTTGAATGACCAGCTGTGAGCAAATGTAGTTGTACTTAATGCATAATGCCATCCCTAGGTCTCAGGTTTGGGCCCAGAAACTCAGAAGTTGCCCAACCTTGATCTAGGTGCTTGATGGGGAAAAAGGATGCAGGAAACACAAGGATACAGGAATTGCAACTGAATGTTGCCCTATGGAGTTCCCAAATTTGAAATGGCCAGCTACGAAGGCATCCATGAAGAACCTACCTGCAGATATAGCTGAGAAGGTTGTAATTGTCGTGGGGTAAGAGAGCCAGCTGCTTCATCAACTGTTGATGGCCCTAGAAGAATATCAAGATGGATTTTTTTCAACTGTCATTAATAACGTATTGCCAGTATAAAATATCGTCATCATTTGTATTTTGGCATCTCCACGCGGTGACTTTTATGATATTTCAATGATATATCTTGACACATGTCTAGTCTCTTGACTAATTTCTGGAGCAGATCAAGCTTGAACGCTCCCCAGAAACCAAGATGAATTAAACCGAGGCTGTCCTAGTTTGGCCACATCTTGAGAACACAGGGCTCTCTAGAAAAGACAATGAGTCTTGCTAAGGTAGAAGACAGTAGGAAAAAAGGAAGGCCACATTCCAGCTGCCCTTCCAAGTCCATCTGGAATGTGTTCTTCCTTTTTTCCTACTGTCTTTTACCTTAGCAAGACTCATTGTCTTTTCTAGAGAGCCCTGTGTTCTCAAGATGTGGCCAAAGTAGGACAGCCTCAGTTTAATTCATCTTCTGGGGAGAGTTCAAGCTTAATCTGCTCCAGGAGCCATTTATTTGTCTTTTTAGCACTCAGAGAACCCTCCTCCAGCATCACATTTCAAATGAGTTCATTTTCTTCCTATCAGCTTTCTTTGGTGTCCAGCTTTCACAATCATAACATAGAAATGGGAAATACAGTTGTCCTTCTGTAGCCATGGATTCTTTATCCATAAAGTCATGCATCCATGGCTTTAAAATATTCCAAAAAATATAAATTCCCAAAAGCAAACTTTGATTTTGCCATTTAAATAAGGGACCCATCTTACTAAAAGGGAAATATAGGGCAATATGTAGGACAATATGGATTTTGGTATCCACAGGAGGTCCTGGAACCAAACCTCAGCAGATACTAAAGGCTCACTAAACAATTGTATTGTATCTTGACTTATGCATTTTTAAAGCACTCTGTTGGGGCATAATGCCTGAACAGGGCTATCTTTGTGCTAAATTATTCAAACAAAATCCAAAATGGCATCCCCCCCCCCCCATCATTCCATGAGTACAGAGCTTGGGGAAAAGTTGATTATTTGAACAAAATTCGGAAGCTTCAACTTACAAAACAAAAACATATGCCATCAATAGAGCATCTCTTTGGGCCCAAAGGCAGACAGTAAAGGATGCGTTGTCTAATACCTTGGCCTCATCAGCAGCTAGAAGCTGTCCGCACAAAAGGAAGTCTTCATATTGTGTACAAGGCACAACTGGTTCAGGAAGTTCCCGGAGATAAAGTTTGAGCAAAGAAGCCACTGTGTGTACATCAGTATCTCTGCAAAAGGAAAGGGTGCATTAGGCATGCGCAGTATCAACATGAGTTAGATGGATAACAAGAATTACATATCCATTTTCCTCTTCCTCATCAAATTAAAACAGAACTTGGAAAAAGTGACCCTTTTTTTGGATTGCAGTCTCTAGGTTTTTAGGATGTATTGGCTGAAGGATACTGGGAGTTTCAGTCCAATTTTTTGCCCCCAAGAGCTGATTTCTGTTAAAATTCAAATGACTACTACTGAGATTGGAGTTTTG